GCTATAGTTTTCAGAGCAGAGAAGTGAAAAGGAGAGAGCTACCCACAAAGAAGTCTAGAGCTCTACAGACAGTACCTCAGCAATTCAGATCTGTGAGTGAAGGGAGGAAACTGCCAGAAAGCAGGTAAGATAAAGAGAACAACCCTTATGTTGGGGTTGCCACTCAGTAGCAGAGTGCCTGCCTCGTACATGTGAGGCACTGGGTTAAATAAATAAAATAAAGAGGGCTGGGGCTGGGGCTCAGTGGTAGAGTCTTGCCTAGCATGCTTGTGGCACTGAGTTCTATCCTCAGCACGACATAAGTGTAAAATAAAGATATTGTGTCCATGTATAACTTAAAACAAGAAAAAAAAAAAAAGACAACAACCTCATAGCTCACACTGGCCTGGGAACAGTTGTTCCTATTAACTAGAATGAAAACCTTATAATTAATTAACACTGAGCACTCAGAAGGAGGCAAAAGTAGCCAGGAAAGTACACTTGTAATCCCATTGGCTCTAGAGGCTGATGCACGAGGATCACAAGTTTGAGGCCAGCCTGGGCAACTTAGTGAGTCCCTAAGCAACATAGTGAGACCCTGTCTCAAAATTTAAAAAATTAAAAAGGCCTGGGGATGTAGCTCAGTGGTTAAGTACCCCTGGGCTCAATCCCCAGTACACACACACACACACACACACACATACACACACACATACAAAAGGCTGGGAATGAAGCATGTGTGGGTGCAGTCCCCAACATTGTGGAAAATTAAAAGATGAAAATTTGGCAAAGCATATGAACAGATATCTCTACAGAAGATATTCAAATGGTCAATAAGTATATGAAAATATATTTGACAACATTAGTAAAATCTTTATGCCAAAAATTGTGACACTGTAGATGAAGTGAACATATTTTGCATAATTATTTGTTTTTCTGTGCTGGGGATGGAACCCAATGCCTTGAGCATGATACGCAAGTGCTATACCATTGAGCTACACCCAGACCTAAAATGGACATATTAGTAAAAGTATGACGTCTTACCCAAGAAGAAATAACCACAAGTTCAAGGCCAACCTGAGCAACCTAGTGAGATCTTATTTCAAAGAAAAAGGCAGAGGTCTGGGGCTATAATCAGTAGCAGAGTATTGCTGGGTTTAATCCCCAGAATTGGGGAAAAAGAAGAAGAAATAATCTAAATATCCATGTATCTAAAGTGAATTTATTTTAAAAAGGACAATCTTTTCAACAAGTGATGGTGAAACAATCGAAACTTTACACACATAAAATATGAAGTTAGCTGGGGTTGTGGCTCAGTGGTAGAGTACTTGCCTAGCATGTGTGAGGCACTGGGTATGATCCTCAGCACCACATAAAGATAAATAAATAAAGGTATTGTGTCCATCTACAACTTGAAAAAATATTTAAAAAAAAAAAACATGGGGCTGGGGATGTGGCTCAAGCGGTGGTGCGCTCGCCTGGCATGTGTGCGGCCCGGGTTCGATCCTCAGCACCACATACCAACAAAGATGTTGTGTCCGCCAAGAACTGAAAAATAAATGTTAAAAATTCTCTCTCTCTCACTCTCTCTTTAAAAAAAAAAAAAAGAGCTAGGCGTGGTGTGGGTGTGGTGGTGGTGGTGGTGGTGACGCATGCCTGTAATCCCAGTGACTCAGGAAGCTGAGTCAGGAGGATTGCAAATTCAAGACCAGCAAGATCTGGGAATGTGGTTCAGTGATTAAGTTCTTCTGGGTTCAATCCCTTGTACCAAACTAAATAAATATAAAAAATAAATATAAAGAGTTGAGGATGCAGCTCAGTGGCAGGGAATTTGCCTAGCATGTGTGAGGTCCTACGTTCTATCCCTAGTACTTAAAGGAAAAAAAAAAAGTAACTTAGTGTCAGAAAAGCTTACCAGAGCAAGTCAGCAGCAAAGGTCACATCCATGTACTTCCTTTTATGTAGTACTAGGTTCAATCCTTAGTACTGCATAAATAAATAATAACAAAATACATGATTGTTCATAGCAGCTTTATTTGTAATAGCCAAAACCTAATAACAATTCAATAGGCAAATACCCATGTAATTGATTATTACTCAGCAGCAACAACAAAAGAATGGTCTATTGGTGAGGTGGTGCACATCTGTAATCCCAGCAATTTGGGAGGCTGAGGCAGAAGGACCACAAATTTGATGCCAGCCTCAGCATTTTAGCAAAGGCCTATGCAATTTAGCAAGACCCTGTCTCAAAAAGTAAAAAGGGCTGGGGATATACCTCAGTGGTTAAGCACCCCTGATTTCAATCCATAGTACCATAAATAATTATTGTTATTTTTATTTTTATTTTTTTTGGCGAAGGGTACCAGGGATTGAACTCATGGGCACTCAACCACTGAGCCACATCTCCGGCCCTATTTTGTATTTTATTTAGGGTCTCATGGAGTTGCTTTAGCACCTTGCTGTTGCTGAGGCTGACTTTAAACTTGTAATCCTCCTGCCTCAGCCTCCCGAGCTGCTGGGCTCACAGGCATGTGCCACCGCGTCTGATAAACACACACACACACACACACACACACACACACACATATATATTTGTTAATTTTGAGACAGGTTCTAGGTTACCCGGCCTAGCCTGCAACTTGTGATCTTCCTGCCTCAGTCACCTGAACAGCTGGTATTACAGCTATGTGTCATAGTGCCCTGTAGTATTAGGTATGTGTGTTTGTGTGTGTGTGTGTTTGTGTATGAGTTTGTGTGGTATTTAAGCCAGGGATGCTCTACCACTTAGATTCAAACGGACCCTTTTTATTTTTTATTTTGAGACAGGGTCTCTGTCATAAACATCCTATGTCATTAACATGGACCAAACACTTTTGTGTCTTTCCATAATGTCAGAATTTATTGAATAACCATAAATTCACAGCCTATACCACCTTCATCAGTGGCAGTCACTGAATACTTGTAGGTCATCTGGTAGTCATAAACTGGGCACTCACAGATTCTTTCATTCCAATCTTAATTGCTAATATTGAAGCACTCAAATCACACATTACACTTTACACAACTACACATAAAGGTCACAGAAAGGCTAAGGAAGGGTTAGGCAAGGCAGACACAGGGTCCAGAAGGCTGGACTGAGAGCAAAGGCAGGGAGCGCGGTGGATGCAGAGCCACTGTAGGTGATCAGAGAAGATCACAACCTGGAACCAGCAGAAGAACTTGTTCAGGGGCAAAGCTGTCAAAATGCAGGAACTGATTGTAGGCCAAGGTCCTGACAGTGGCAGTTCCACAGTGTCAGCATGGAGTGTTGGTTTGGAGTAGGACTTGTGTCATTGACACAGGCAGGAGAAACCACCCTTTGCTAAAGCCCAAGGACAGAGATTTGGAGGTTTGTAGCCGTGGCGATTTTCCTGGGCAAGGCTCATAACAAGTGACCAGAGGATGAGGTCAAGAGGCCACCATGTCCAGTTCTGAGGTGCTCTTCTTCTTATAGGTCTTAAGTGAGGTGGCTGCATCATTTGGTGATCTGCTGTGTTCAGTAAACTCATGAGCTTATTTTTTTCCATATCAGTTTGATATGCACATGTTGAGAGCCACAGCCGAGTCTGGATGGCGCCTGGCATTTTGCCAGAAGGAGTGGTTGAGAGGTGACGCCAGCGAGCCATTAAGTTTTCGGCAGACACAACATCTTTGTTTGTATGTGGTGCTGAGACGGGCCGCACACATGCCAGGCGAGCACGCTACCACTTGAGCCACATCCCCAGCCCAGCCAGCGAGCCATTAAGATGATGATACTTAAGTTAAGCTGTGTATAATTGCTGTGACTGGATGATGCTGGATTGAAACAGGCTGTGTATTCAGTTGTATATAGACCCCTGCTGTCTGGCAATAGGGAGACTCCTGCTGTCTCAGCCACCCGCTACTTTTGAGTTCTGCATGGAGCCCTGGTTGAGGGCTGGGAGAGTTCCCGGGGAGTGTGCATGGAGTGCGGGTGAGAGTTCGGACAATAAAGTAGTTCCTGTTTGAACCTACAAGTGCCTCGCAGCGGCTCAGTTATTTGTGCCCAGCCAGACTGCGGCATGCACACATAACCATGTGCTTCTGATTAATTTGATAAGTTCATGGGTGGTCACATTTTTTTTTCCAGTATTGGGGATTGTACCCAGGGGTGCTTAACCACTGAGCCATATCCCCAGCCCTTTTCATTTTTTATTTTGAGACAGGTTCTCACTAAGTTGCTTAGGACCTTGCTCAGTTGCTGAGGCTGGCTTTGAATTTGCAATTCTCCTGCCTCAGCCTCCTAAGTAAGCTGCTGGGATTACAGGTGTGCACCACCATGCCCAACCATGGTTGATCTTATTAGCGTGATTAATTTATTTATAAGTTTATGCATTATGGTTGTACCAGGCAGTTGGTGGTTGTTTGCTTGTACAAACAAGGGTGGAGTGACTCCAACTCAGTCCTTAAACTCAAAATGGAGTAGCCTGTGACAATGACTGCTTTACAAAACCAACGTTCAAGTACAGCCTGAAAACTGCTCTTCTATACATTGTGGAGTAATTTGGAAAGAACAGGTGCTCTCTACAGTCTCACTAAATTGCTGAGGCTGATCTTAAACTTGAAATCCTCGTGCCTCAGCCTCCCAAATTGCTGGGATTACAGGCATGCACCACAGCATTGGCTCCTATGTCATTTTTTACAAGGAATTTGAGCAGGTGAAGATTTTCATGTCCTTGGGGGTCCTGGAACCAATTCTTTTTTTTAAATGAATTGATTTATTTATTCTAATTAGGTGTATATGACAGCAGAATGCATTTTGATTCATTGTACACAATTGCAGCACAATTTTTCATTTCTCTGGCTGTATATGATGTAGCGTTGCACCATATGTGCAGTCATACATGTACCTAGGGTAATGGTGTCCACCTCATTCCACCTTCTTTCCTGCCCCCATGTTCCCTCCCTACCTCTCCCTCCCCTTTTCCCAAAGTTCCTCCATTTTTCCCATGCCTGTACCCCCCATTATGGATCAACATTCACTTATCAGAGAGAACATTTAGCCTTTGATTTTTTGGGATTGGCTAACTTCACTTAGCATGACATTCTCCAACTCCATCCACTTTACCTGCAAAAGCCATAATTTTGTTCACCTTTAATGGAATCAATTCTTCATGGATACCAAGGACAGACTGTTGTGTGGTCTTCACCCCCACTTCCTGGCATATAACTTCTAAAATCCTTGGAATCTCCATAGTGGTCAAGGTCATTTTGTATGCTAATTGATGGCTAATTTCCCCAGGGTGGCCTCAGGACAAGAGGTAGTCCGGTGAAAGACCAAGGCTGGAATAGAAGATTGAGACTTTCAGTTCATTCCCTCAATCTCCTGGAGGAAAAGGGGCAGGATGGTCAATGATTTATTTGGCCATTACAATTGATTATGTAAAGAAATCTCCTTTAGGACTGGGGATATTGCTCAAGATTGCTCCAGGCATTTGTTTTTGTTTTTTAATATTTTTTTTAGTTGTTAATGGGCCTTTATTTTAATCATTTATTTATATATGGTGCTAAGAATTCAACCCAGTGCTTCACACATGAGAGGCAAGCACTCCACCACTGTGCCACACGCCCTGCCCCAGGCATTTATAAGGTCCTGGGTTCAATCCCTAGCACAGAAAAAAAAAAAAAAAATCCTCCATTAAAACCCAAAAGTTGGGGGCTAGGGGTGTTGTTCATGGTAGAGACTTGTCTAACACATATAAGGCCCTGCGTTTAATCCCCAGTACCAAAACAACAACAACAACAATAAATCCAAAAGGACACTGTTTGGTAAATTTCCAGCTGGCAGTGTTTCCTGGAGTCACGTTAGAATTCATCCAATAAATTTCCCTTTGGCTTAAATCAGCACTTGTTAGTTCTATTACTTTTTCACCATTAGAGAAAAAGTAATTCACAGCCAGGCATGGCGGCCCATGACTGTAAATCCCAGCAACTTGGAAAGTTGAGGCAGGAGGATAACATCGGAGGCCAGCCCCAATAATTTACCAAGACCCTATCTCAAAATAAAAATAAAAGAGACCTGGGAATGTAGCTCAGATATAAGACACTTGCCTAGCATATGCATGGCCCTGGATTAAATCCCCAGTAGTAGAAAAGAACAAAATAAGCGAGTGTGGTGGCACACGCCTGTAATCCCAGAGGCTCTGGAGGCTGAGACAGGAGGATCATGAGTTCAAAACCAGCCTCAGCAAAAGTAAGGTGCTAAGCAACTCAGTGAGAACCTGTCTCTAAATAAAATACATACAAAATAGGGCTGGGGATGTGGCTCAGTGGTTGAGGGCCCCTGAGTTCTATCCCCAGTACCCCCCTCCAAAAAAAAAACAGAACAATGTAGCTATCTCAGAAAAGTTTGCTAACATGCCTGGGGTTGCATAATACATAACAGCAAAGATACAAACTGCATATACTTCCCCTTTTGAGGGGGCAGGGGTGGGGGTGGTGGTACAAAAACTCTCTACCACTGAGCTACTTCCCAGCCTTTTTAATTTTTTGAGACAGGTTTTTGCTAAATTTCCCAGGCTGGCCTTGAATTTGGGATCCTCAGCCTTCCAAGTTGCTGGGATCAAAGGTATGCGCCACCACATCCAGTGGCATATGCTTCCTTATGATGGAAGGAGGAATGGAAGCTCCAGGCCCCTTCCCACCTTGCCCTGTGCATCTCTTCATTGGTAGCCTTTACAGTTGCCTTTAGAGTGAACTGATAGATGTTAAGTGAAGATCCATGGAGCACCGTAGCAAATTAATTGAGGCTGAAGAGGCTAGCTGGTGAGAAGCACTGGTAAAACAACAGGAGATTGGAACTGGCAAGGGAAATGGGGGCTGTCTTGTGGCAACAAGTCTTCAACCTGTGGGATCTGACCCTATCTCCACGTAAAGGTAAAGGGTGTCAGAATTGAATTGAATTGGAAGACACCAGCTTGTGTCCAACTCAGAACTGACTCCTTGTTAGAGGGAGAAATCCTCATGTATTTATTGGTGACCAGAAGTCAGAGGAGTCTTCTGTGTTGCTTGATGAGTGAAAGAGCAGAAAGAACACGTTAGCTTTTTCCTTTCTATCCTCAGAGCACTTCACTGTATGCCACTTACCCCTTAATAAATTTGCTAAACTAAAAAAATAAATAAATATCAAAAATTCTCTCTCTCACTCTCTCTTTAAAAAAAAATAAAATAAAATAAAAAGGGGATGTAGCTCAGGGTACAGTGCCCAGGGTTGAATTACTAAAACCAAAAAAAAAAAAAAAAAAAAAAGCAGTAAGTGCTAATTTAAACCACGAAGGGGGGAATTTAACAAGAAGCAAAGGCAGCAAGCTTTGTGAGGGAAGAAAGAAAATGCCTCGGAAAGTTATAAAGATTGTTTAATCCCCTTTCTTTGCTTTTTTCCCTCCCCCATGTATATGGCAGAAAAAAAAAAAAAGTTATTACTTTTGAGCTTTGAGTGTTCCAGGCTTACTTACTCTGAAAGATGCTGAAATGGCTTCCTGCCGGGCTGGGGATGTGGCTCAAGCAGTAGCGCGCTCGCCTGACATGCGTGATGCCCGGGTTCGATCCTCAGCACCACATACCAACCAAGATGTTGTGTCCGCCGAGAACTACTAGAACTAAAAAATAAATATTAAAAAAATTATCTCTCTCGCTCTCTCTCACTCTCTCTTTAAAAAAAAAAAAAATGGCTTCCTGCCATCCTCAGGCTCAAGCATACATTCTTAGGGAAAGACCTCATTGGTCCACTTGGATTAAGGATCTCACTATACACCAAGGTATTGGAGTCAAGACCAGAGGTGCATTACTACTGAGCTACATCCCCAGCCCTTCATAATTTTTTATTTTCAGACAGGGTCTCACTAAGTTGCTGAGGCTGGCCTCAAATTTGCGATTCTCCTGCCTCAGCCTCCAGAGTAGCTGAAATTACAGATGGATACCAATGTGCTCAGCTTTTGTTCGTCTCTCTGAATATAATGTGAGCTCCAGGAAGGCAGGGATTTATGTTTTATTTGTTGACTAGCATGGTGTCTGGTGTACAGAGCATTCATAGCATCCTATAACCATTTATTGGTTGTTTTTTTTTTTTTTTTGGTGTGTGTGTGTGTGTGTGTGGTGCTGGGGACTGAAGCGAGGGCCTCATGCACCAGAGGCAAGCATTTTACCAACTGAGCTATGTCTCCAGCCCCCAATAACCATTAATTAAATGAGTGAAATGACCCAGACAGGGTACCAGATGATGGGGCTTCCTTTTTCTGGCTCTAAACTCTCTTGCTGAGCCACATTTCTCATCTCTGGGCCTCAATTGCCTTCTATGTAGAATGGAATGTGAGAGTCAGAAGTGAAACCCCTAACATTTTGGCTTTGCATCTTCCGTCTTGAAATCTCTTGCTGGGGACCTGCTATTGCTAGGTCTGATGGATAGAGGTTAGATTTGACTATGAGCCTTACTCCCAGCCCAGGTTTTGGGGATGGGTGGCAATGGCTCTACTGAGAGATGAGAAAAGGAATGGGTGGGGAAGGAGGGAGATCCAGGAATCAGGCTGCAGGCCTGGGCAGGCAGGGCTGTCCCTGGGAGATGTGAGAGCTGCAGGCCAGTGGCCAGGGGGTATGTGCCCAGAGATCCCATCAAGGCTGGCACAGTGGTACACACCTCTGATCCCAGCAATGCACCTGGAGGATTGCAAGTTCGAGGCCAGCCTGGGCAACTTTGTGGCACTCTGTTTCAAATTAAATAAAGTGTTGGGGAAATAGCTCAGTGGTAAAGCACCTATGGGCTCAATCCCCAGTAGTGTGTGAAATGTACAATACAGCAGCCTTGTTTAAAATAGCGAAAAGACTGAAAATAAGCTATCTATCAATAGGAACAGGCTAGATAAACTAGAACATATCCACCAAATGGAACAGTATGAGATTGTTAAAAAGGATCTAGCAAGTCTGTAAAATGCAGACTAATGTCCAAGTTCTAAGGAAAAGAAACAAGGTACAGAACAATGTATACAGGATGTTACTGTTTACTTTTTGTGTGTATGGTTCTAGGGATTGAACACAGGGCCTTGTGCATGCAAGGCAAGCACTCTACCAACTGAGCTATATCCCCAGCCCTGGATATATAAAAACTATACACACAAACGTTTACAAATGCTTGGAACATCTCTGGGACTTGTACTGGTTTCTGGGGGACAGGGCTGGTTGTGGGGGATGATGTTCAATATTAATGTTCAATGTTCTTTTTTCCAAATTGAGGTGTAATTCAAATAACATGAAATTAACCATTTTAAAGTATATAATTTAGTACATTCATGGTGTTGTTTAATCATCATCTCTACCTAGTTGCAGAATATTTTTATTTCCTCAAAAAGAAACTCCTATATCTATTAGCAGTTACTCTGTATCTCCCCAGTCCCTAATGACCATTAATCTGCTTTCTGTCCATGGATTTGCCCATTTTGGATATTTTGTATAAATGGAATCATAAAACAAGTGAGCTTTTGAATTTGGCTTTTTAAAAACTTTGCAGGGTTTTTTGATGTTCATTCACGTTGATCCTTCTTTATTTTGGGGCAATGCTTGGGATTGAACTCAGGGCCTCAAGTGTGCTTCATAAATTCAACCATAGAGCTATTGAAAAAGGAAAAAAAATAAAGGTGTATATTTATGGAAATAAAATAATAAAGAGTACTAAAAACACAGAGGGTTGTTTTTAGTACTAGTGTTGTTAGATAATAAATTAGCAAATACTTACTCACATGATTCCTGGAAGTACATTTCACTTTTGACCCTAGACCTCATTTTTTTTTTTTTTTAAA